GGGGGGAGGCACCGTGTGCATTGCACGAGGAAACATGTGTTTCGTGCCTCCTCCTCCTCCTCCTCCTCCTCCTCCTCCGCCCCCTCATCCCCCCCCCCTCAGTTGATGTAGAGGGGTCCAAATGCAGTTCTAACAGTAACTGAGAATCCAGCACCAGCCAAAGCCAAGCCAAGAGAGAGCAGCCCATCATTGGGTCTGGTGTCTGGTTCCATGTACCTCGTATGAAACATGACAATTGATTAGTCATTCCATCTGAACTATCTGGCATCCTGGAATATCTGATCTTAAAATCCGAAACATTAGTAATTTTTTGTATAAGTGAAAACTGTTTTGAATTGTCAAGGGTTGAGTTTCTTATTTTATTAATAACATCTGGCATTAATTTGTAGATTATTGTGGTAGACAATCAATAACAATGAGGTGTGTAATTTTTAAAAATGTATATTAATCTTGTTTCATCTGAATGCTTCTAGCCTAATTAATTAAGATCCCTGAAAATTATTTTAAGTGCACTTTTTTGTTTTTATCAATGGTTATGAATTCCTTTTTTCCATTGATTTTTGTGCATTTCTTTCACACAGTACTGCTGAAGAATATTTATTATCTGCTGGCAATGTTTTAAGTCGTGCACAATTGAGATCTTGTTTGAAAGACTGCAGAGTGTTGCACAGGGAATTTTGGGATATACCTTCAAATCATCCTGAAAAATCTGAAGTGGCTGGTAGTGGCACTAAGAATAGATACAGATCGATTTTGCCTAATGAGAGATCCCGTGTGAGATTACCATCTGCGAGTGATGACTTATTAGCAGGGTATATTAATGCTAATTATATAAGGGTAAGCTTTTCGCCTTTATCAATGATATGTTCTTTTTATCATACACATATTGATGTCAGCACAGAACCGGTAAGTGTCAAATACTGTATTCCTCAGGGATACGATGGCGAAGAACGAGCATATATTGGTACTCAAGGCCCTCTTCCTCACACTGTTGCTGATTTTTGGTTGATGATATGGCATGAATGCTGCCCTGCAATTGTTATGATTACTAAGTTTTGGGAAAAAGGTCGCCCAAAATGTGAACAATATTTCCCACAAGGAGAACCAAACAGTGAATCTGTTGTATATGGAGAATTAACTGTTCAAGTTACCAAAATTGTGATTAGAGATGGCTACACCATTCGGGAACTGTTAGTTCAGGTAAGAGGAAAAACTCTTAGGGAAAGAGCTTTCTCATAACAATTAATTATAACTCTCATAACAATATTAATAACTCTCATAACTAGTTAATTAAAGAGATTTGCAAGTTGAAATGCTTGTCTTAGAAAAATATCTGTGTTCAGAGGTTAAAAAGTTTCATTTTTGTGTGAAATACTGATCAGTGTATGATTATTAATCGACAATAATTAGTAATTAATAATAAAGTTTATATAAATACTGATAACAGTAATTTTAATATGGGCTAGTTAGTTTCATGTATCTCTGTAGTGAAAGTGGATGTTTTAGTGATGGTACCCCAACCCTTGTTTTGGTACACAGAGCCCTTCAGTGAAAGTTACTGTATAATTAATATATAATACAGGAATTAAGGGCCAATTTTTTAAATGCAGAATACATTTTAGAATTAAAGTAGATAAACATGGAATGAAGAGTGAACATACTCTCAAGGGGCTTTTTTGACTTGAAAAGGTCAAGTACCTAAAAACACCAAAATTATCAAAATAAATTTGGATCAATATTGAAATTGAGAAATACTAGATTTATTCATCGTAAGTTCTCAAAACCATACCCTTTCACTAGAGAGAGCACACCACTGCTTGATATAGAGTGCTCTAATAATAATGAAACCTGGTTATTTCGCATAATTTATTAACTAATTAAAGTGTAGATTACGTGTAATAAGAGTGGTATCAGAAGTGCAGTGTGTCCCCCAGTACACTGTTAATACCTTTTAAATTATATTGTGATATCATGCTTTATAAAACAGTGCCAGAGGCATAGGCAACAGTCATAGTCAGGTCACAAAGTCAGAGCTTGTGAGCACAGCGAGTTGGATCTGTTGTGTAACAACATGCTTTAGGGTCAATGCATTGCAGGTGACTTTGTGTCAAAATTGTATTGGTTATTAAATTGTTTGTATTAATCAAAACACTTAGACCTAATATGAACACATTTAAATTTACTAAAAGCAATTCAGCATCATTAGTTCTGAAATAAACATCCCATCTGCTGGGATTCGGTGATAGTACACCTTTCCTTGTGGAGGTGTATTATTCATTACGGAACACTTACACGGATCATTTTAGTAGCAGTATCCTATTCCTATGAAAGATATACCTTCCCCAAATATATACTTTCACTGTAATATTTTTAATGGGTGTGGGGTGTTGGTATGGGCAGCTTGGCATGCGTATGTACTGCGAATGTTCTGCAGAAAACTGTTGCATAGGGCCTGGTTAACAAAAAAGAGGATAAATCCAGTTGCTAAATTTAGAGTGGTGGGGAAATTCTCTCTATCGTGTGGTGTAGCCCGAATCCCTGTTTTCTGGGTCTTTGATCCCGAAAAATCAAATGACGGCAAAACGTATGTCCTGTCTGTGAACATTAGCTGCTAAACTGTTCAGCTGATTTTCTCCAAAATTGATTTTCCTCAATCAATCTGCCTGATGTCGCAGCTCTTTAAATTTGAAACCAATATTTCAATTTTGGAGATACTTTACACGAAGTCCCTAGGAAATTTTCAAAAAAATGGCTCCATTGTTTTTGATTAAATTTTCTCGTTGGTTAGTGTAAAGGACATTTAAGAGAATGATGCAAGACTCTTGTTTTGATTTTTCGAAAATTGCAAAATTTCAAAAGTTTTTGGAGGTTTTCTACTACTAAAATGTTAAAGATAGGGTTTTTTCCATGATGAAATCCATTTCTTAAAGATAGATTTTGAAATATGGTCATATACAAGTTTTTGAAAATAAGAGTCCTTTTCGCGTAATTTTGCGTGAAATACGGAGAAAGTACATACTGTTTTAGCATAACTAGTTTTGTATGCTACCACACCATAGTAGCCACTAGCCTATAATTTTTACAAAATGAGATTGAACAGAGGATTAAGTTTAAGTTCTGAATTTTAAATATACAAATAGTTTTAATTACATCAGGGTTTTTTTTTTTTTTTTTAACATGAATTGATATTTCCAATTTTAAGAACATTTCTGATCAAGAAAGTGCCTGCAACACTGCTGCCTGAAATGTTTTTGGCTTTTTCTCAATTACAATAATTGATATAGACAGATTTTGCTTAATGCAAAACAGATCTTCGTATAAAGCAATGTTAATTTTCGAAAATGTTTTTGCGTGAAACAAGCAATTTTTAAATTGTAATTTTCTTAAAAAAATCCTGCTCCAATGTTTTTTTAATGCCTTCTATCATTTTTAGCAAAGAATCCTACGGAAAATAGTGTGGCCCTATTTTCGACGAACGCTCTGTACTTTCAAAATTGCAAAACATAACTATTACAAATGTACAGTATTGATTATTGAGATATCTTTTTTAAATGAAATATTTTCATAAAGCTTTTTCTTTTTATGTCGTATAAAATATTTTTAAAAAATATGAGTAGTTTAGTGTGATTTTGCATTTTTGAAATTGCAGATTCGAATTTCCCGCCCTTCGTATGCTAGACTCTTACGGGAGTTATCAGGTTGCATTGCAATTATGAGAACGCAGTGACCCAACAGTTTGAAATTCTGACTTCATTGTAGGCGTTTCTCAAAAGTCTTGTAAGGAAATAAACAGAAAGACGATTACTGAATATTCAGCTGCGATAAGGCGTGCGAAATTTACAAGATATTAGGTAAACAAGATGAGGGGGAAAGAGAGAGGGAGGGGGAGAGAGAGAGAGAGAGAGAGAGAGAGAGAGAGAGAGAGAGAGAGAGAGAGAGAGAGAGAAACGCACATACGGACTGAGGGTGAGAGAGAGACACACACATACAGACTGAGGGTGAGAGAGAGACACACACACATACAGAGGGTGAGAGAGAGAGACACACACATACAGACTGAGGGTGAGATAGACACGCATATACAGACTGAGGGTGAGAGAGAGACAGGCAGAAAGAGAAAGACTCACGGAGACGTTTTCTTTTTCAAAAGGATTGAATATTAAGAAAGAAAAAAGAAGAAAAAGCTAGCTGCGCCGGGTATTTTACTAGTTAAGTATAAATCGTGAGTGATGAGGGGGGGCGTTACCTATGTTTGAATTTTACGCCATTTTTTCGAATATATTTTTTAATGAAATGCTGTTAACAGACAAATTCAAATAGTTTATATTACGACATTATAAATGAAATTTCGAATCGTAAGATCGTAAAATTAAAATGTAATGAGTGAAGTCAGTTTGACTCCGTGTCTTTGTCTTCCGAATGTCTGTTGTAAGGGTGAAGATGTTTAACTACTGTATAAGCATCTTCCCTTGGTGAAGAAAATTTGCACTGCTTTCGAGAAGTCTATAAACTACCGCGCCTGGAGGCCCTGATTGGCCGAATTGAGGCCGAAGCTTGTATGCCAGATGTGTTTGAGCACGGCTGAATCTGTAGATTTGACCGTGAGTTTGAGAAATCGCCTCAGTCGCGTGATTTGTAAGCCTAAATCCACAGTAGGCAACCTTTTCGAAGGTCATTAGCCTTGCAGCAGAATAGAACTAGGGAACGAATGCAACTCTTTTATGCGAAACCACAGTGTTACAAAACCTTGAACTGTAACCAATAGTAGTCTGAAGCGCCCAAAGAACGGACAAAATATTTTTGCTCACAAAAAATGGGACACACATTCTGTAAAGATTTGAAATCGAAAAGCCAACCGAATAACGAAGGGATGCGACGCATCTCTCGCATCCATTGACGCTACGCCACTGATCGAGATACATACGACACATCACTGGATAGGGAAAAATTCCAAATAGTAAGCTTTTGCATATGAAGCCCATTCAGTGTCCACAATGGCGCTGTAGTTTAGAAAATGGTGTCGACTCACGAAAAGTCAGTTTGTGTTCTGCAGTATGCAAAGGGTGAATCCATTGTTTCATTGCAGCATGCATTTCGTGGCAAATTCAAGAAAGACACCCCTCGTCATAACAGATTTACAAGTCATACAAGAAGTTTGTAGAAGATTGCATATGCAAAGGGAAAAGTACTTCATCAGATGAATGTTGAGCGTATCCGATCGCCTTACGAACGTAGCCCTACAAAATCCACAAAAGGGAGGAAGCAGAGAACTTCGAATTTCGCAACATACGGTATGGCGAGTGCTTAGAAAGTGTCTGTGTCAGAAGCTGTGTAAGTTGCAATTACTTCAGGCATTGCGTCCTGGAGATCATCAAAAAGTATCAGAATTTTGCATTGCAATGTTGGAAGGTATGAAAGATAACACCGTTGCTGAAAGACTATCTTTTTCGATGAATCAACCTCGCACATCTCTAGTAAAGTGAATCGCCACAATGTCAGAATTTTGAAGACTGAAAATCCCTGCATTATCATCTAACATGAAAGAAATTCTCCAAAACTGAATGTGTTTAGTATCAAGAAAGTTAAAGGGGCCTTCCTTTTACTTCCCCGTATACATACACGGACCATACCGTATACATACATATACGTAGTGTAGGATTTCAAGGGAAATGCACGTATTGGGGACCCCCTGATACTGAAAAGTGTTTTTGTCCAAAACGTGTCTGTCTGTCTTTGAACATTAGTCGCCTAAACCATACGTAGGATTTTTTCCAAAATGGTCGATCTGGCTCGACTTGAGGCGCTGCGGTTTTGAAAAACTTTCTTCCAGATTTGAGGATACTTTCTATGAAGCTCCGTGGACATTTTAAAAAATTTCTTAAAAACAACTCCAATGTTTTAAAATTTCCTTTAAGAATAGAGTAAAATAAACTTATGTCCAATTTTCAGGGTGAACTGAATTTTCGAAAATTCCAAAATTTTCCGGTCATCCTACAATTTCAAAATTGAAGATAGACATTTTCCCTACAAGTAAAATTTGTTCTACGTAGTGAGTTCTTTCATTGTCATGTACATTATTTTGAATCTTTTTATTGTTTTCGCGCAATATTGCGTGCATGTGTAATTAAAAAAATAACAAAGAGTAGATGTTCTCAAAAACTGCTCCAAATTGTTTCTTTAAACATTTGGTAGCAATAGTGCTAAATGTACTCTTATGAGATGACATAATGCAATAACTCATAAAATGACAGTTTTCTCTATTCTGTTGTTTTTTCAAAAATTCTAAAACTTTTTTTTACTTGTCTCTCACGTCGTTAGTATTTACATTAGCGGCGATTTCTTCATATTATTATATTTATGAGTACATTTACTAAAACCAAAGAGCACCAATTGTTTTATTGAAAGAACTGTTACTGGAATTACGTATCTAGTCAAGCTCCAAAATGGTTTCCACAAATGCAAAGATCAGGATGATTTTATCTTCGTACAAGACGACGCTACACCAATCTCATTACGAGGGACGGCAGTATCTGAACGGCACAATCCCGGGACTATGGATTCGAAGAAGTGAGGAATAATCTTATTCATCGTAATGGTCTCCCCTCCCAGGTCATCGGATCTGACGCCGTGAAATTTTCTATGGAGTTCATAAAAGACAAGGTGTATGTAGTACCTCTAAACGTGCTACCCTTCATGATCAGAGATCGAATTGTTCTGGCAGTGAATTCAATAACCATCGACCAGTTAATTCGTGCGTGGCAAGAAATGGACTATAGATTCCAGCTTTTTCGCGCAGTAAATTGTGCTCATGTTGAATGTACAAAATAAAACGTGGATTCAATGTCTCTTTCTATTGTCGTTCATTGCTGGTAGATATTTGAAATCTGATCCTTTTTTAATCATTCTGTATTTATAACGAGCAATGACTCAAATTCATGATGTTTCACTGGTGATGGCTGAAATATATTAATATGCAGTTTGTGCCCGACATAGCGGACAGCGATCGTCTGCATTCTCGATCTCGATCTTGTGCGCATGCGCAAAGAAACCAGGGAGTTTATGCTCCCTCTAGCACAATGAGTGAAATTGAGAAAGCTTTTGACGCTTAGGGCGAAACGTATAAGTCGCAATGGAAGAAGTTCCATATTGTGTCAACAGTGTGTGCTGCTTGTCTACTTTTGGTTCTGCTGTAGTTAATTTGGTAAAAACTGTTATGTATCATGATATTAGTACTTTATTTGGGACTATATGTAAATTTTCACGACTTGTGTATGTATAACATTTGATAATAAAAGAAATTAGTATTAAAATTTGAACAAGATCTCACATATTTACAAATTAATAGTACTAGTAGTATTATGTAAAACAGAAATGAAGTAGGATCTATGTTTGAGGATAAAATATATATTACACAACAAAAGGAACCAGAGCAGAAGGACTGTGAGAAATGCAAATTATTTTATTTCCTAATTCATTTTGTGAATGTATTTACTATTTAAGTAATATTTTATAATTATATAATATTTTATTCTCACAAATAATGTGCCGAATAAATTAACATAACCTACACCTTATCATAATGATACACTAACAAACTACATAGCATGTTAAGCTTTAAACAATGAACTCTAGGCAAGACCCATTTTCATTGAATATAGGATTCAAAATCCTATTGAATCACATGGAATTAAAATTTCAGTGCCCTCGTTAGAATTCAAATTTATTGATAAATTAATTCTAGAGTTCATCGGCGGTCATCAAGTTATCAAAATTTGTAAGCAGATGAAGTATAATGCAATTAACTACACTAACATAATGGCTTCCTATTAATACCTCTTACTAATAATAATACAATTACTTTCTTTTTACAATTTTTAATGACATTTCTTCGGTAGTAATTCACTGTGACCTCACCAATAAATTCACTATGCACTTGAGACTTTCACTGGTGCTTTGCCTATATCTTCGGATGATTTCGGGCAATTGAAAACTGGGGCTAGCAGTAGCATTCATGTAGCACTAATTGAACAAATCATTTGACAAACATGAAAACACCTTGCAATAAAGCATCATGGAAATATCAACCGCACATTGCTGATAATACAATCGGAGTCAAATTCCATATAAAATGGCCGAATGATCTATTCCGTATAAAATGGCCGAATGATCTATTACCGTGCGATATAAGACGCCTGCTAAATCCGGCGAAATAGCGTGGCCTGCCGTGCCACGCTATCATTTAAAAAGTTGAATTTCGAGTGGGCGCATGCGCAGAAACTCAAAAATTAAGTCGATCTCTTTCCGCTAAGGCTGGCACAACTCTTATTATGAGGGACTTCGTGCACCGCACTATCGATCTTCTGCGCATGCGCTGAAGTTCGATAGTGTTTTAACGTTCGAGGTTGCACAAACTCGCCATGGAGTTTATGCACCCTCGAACGTTACAGCATTATCGATCTATGCGCATACGGAGTTCAAGTTTCGCATAATGGGAATTTGCGCCAGTCTTAGCTTCCGCAATATCGATCTTATGCGCATGCGCAGATACACTAAAATGCTGCGAACCTTGAAATGTGCATGAGCAGAAGCTCGATGGTGCTTTAGTGTTTGAAGTGGCACAAACTCCCTGATAGGAGAAGATCGATAGTGGGTTGTTGTTGGTTTTGGGAGGGGGGACTCCTAGTTTTAAAGTGTGGTACATAAAAAAAAAAGCTGGTTAAATTCTACAGGCCGAAATTGGATTGAAACACTTGGACAATTTTAGTTTGCAAATTAAGAATTTGCAGGCCTGAATGTGTGCTTGCACGTGCTTTTGTTAGTGAAAGAAATGTTGGTAATATTTGCATGAATTATCATTAACTGCTGGTTTGTAATGTTTAAAAAATGTTTGAATGTGTAGTCCTGAGTCAATATCAGTTGTTTTTACTGAACAATGATGCATATTAATTATTGAAACTTATAACTAAAAAAATTGTCTTTTATTCCTTGTTAATATTAATGTTTTAAAATTCATAATAGCATGGTGAAGAGAAACGACATGTGTTACACTTTTGGTATGACACCTGGCCTGACCACAAAACCCCGCCTAGTGCTCATTCATTGGTGGCTATGGCCAGAGAAGTGGAGGGAATGAGACAGCACCCATTGTCTCCTGGAAGCTGTCCAGCTACTCCTCGGGTCATCCAGGAAGGCCTTCTGAGGCAGCTGGACGATGGGCCAGAGTGGCTGGCAGGGGGGCCGGTGGCAGTACATTGCAGTGCTGGACTCGGCCGAACAGGTTGCTTTATCGCTCTGTCTATAGGAATGTGCCAACTGTTAGAGGAGAACAATGTGGATATCTTGGGCATTGTGTGTCAAATGCGTTATGACAGGTCAGCAAATGATGTGCAATAATTTATGTATTTTGTATTTACTACTACTACTACTCTATTTTATATTTACTACTACTAAATCTCAATTTTTTTGCTTTTCTTTTTTTATTATTTGGAAATACCATCTAATGATATCCAGTAAATGCGATTCATTCTTCTTTCTTTTTTTTTTTTGCAGGGGTGGTATGATTCAGACTGCAGAGCAGTATGAATTTGTTCATAGAGCTCTCTGCTTATTTGAACGATCTTTGCCAGATCAATCTGGGGAATGAATTTCTTTATTGTAGGATGTACAACAACGTCCTGGATGATTTATACTTACATGAAGTTGTTATGGAGACCCTGGTGTCTTTAATAGGCCAGTAAGCTGTGTTTGTGCAGGCTATGGTACTACAAAATAAAATGCATAGTACAAAAAAATAATATTGTTAGGTTTAAATGAAACCTTACCTAATGATAACCAGATGTATTCACTGTGGTGTAATCAATGTACTTCTGGATGTGGATTGTGAAGTTGGGTATTTGTAAGCTCAAAATGAGGTTCAAAATAGCACCTTGAATTGTTACCTGTGGAAATTACTTAAATTACTTTGCATTTCTTTTTTTTTTAGTTTGTTTCCTTCAACAAAATGAAACAATTAAAATATTTTTCTTTTACATGTGTGCGTTTTATGCAATCACAAGCAAGTTGTTTTTAGAACAATTGACAAAACAGAAATCCATATCCAATCAAAGCTTATACATGTCTTAATGTGTCAAAAATAAAGGATACATCAGAGATAAATTCAAGTAAAGGAGACTTAGAAATAAAGGATATTGTACCTTGCTTACTGAGGAGATATTTTATTTCTTGGGTAACACTTGGATAATGCATTCTTACGAGGAGGATCTGTGGCACAATCTATTATAATTCTAGTACAATCAAATTGTTTTGGAGACATTTTATTTATTTAGGTTTTTATCAGATATCATTTACTTTTGTATTCAGTTCAAACAAGTTACTTGTTTCCTCATTGGTATTTTAATTGCTTTGAAATATTAGATTTAAGACCGCTATGACTCCTGAATGTTTTCTTCGTTATCAGAAAATAGAGACAGCATAAGAAACACGCACATAGTGAAACAAGTAAATATAAGCATAACGAAGTGTGTGTTTATGTGTGTATTATTTATTTGTGAAGCTGCAAGTACATTTATTTTTGTGGAGTACATAATCGTAATGTAACAAAATGTACCTATCTAATGTATGTGAGCTTTAAAATATTTTTTTCTATTTGTCACATGAGCCACAGTACAAGTCTTCATTACATTCTATATTTCATTAAATAGGTTTTGTAGTGCTTTTTATCTATTGAAGAAAGAATTGGGGGAAAACAAGGAATGATTTTTATTAAATGAAGCTGCCTATGCAAATATGTGCCAAAACATTAATGAAACTTTTCCCATTTGCAAGATGGTGAATAGGCTTTGAAATAGAAGAGAAAGTTACTGACAATCCAAGAACTAAGTCTTTTTTTAACTCCTTGTATTGTCACTTCTTCTGTTTCTCTTCTCTTCCTCTTCTCCTTCTTCTTCTAATCATCATAACACATTGTCCTAGTTTGATAATGACCATGTGAAATTATGCATTTTGAAAATGCTTTTCTTGATAACCAAACTCTTTCACACATTTGCAATATCCTGATTTTGATATCTGTATTTTCCCTTGTTCTCTTTGTGGGTAAGAAAATGGGACTGGACATATATTTATGATATATTTTGAATGAGCAACACGTATTGTACAAGTTCTGATTTTCTATTGAAGTATTTTTTATGGGACCATCTATTGTGTTTACATACTTTGTTTCTTAGAGCTTAGTGTTACTTTAGCACACTATGTAATTTGGTCTTCTTTTGTATTTAATATGTGAAATTGTGGAAAAATGCTGATATTTTTTTTCAAACTCTTCTAAGGGCTAATCCTTTTTCTGAATTTGTCAAAGAAAAAATTGTTGGTAGCTTTAATCCCTATAAAATGTTGTAGGTTATAGGAAATTGAAAAGTATTCTTTAGCAGAACATTAATGTATTTTATATACCTTGCCTCTGTTTCACTCCAAAATATTAAATTTTATTAAAAGTCATGTTACTGTAATGAAAGTTTATAATTGTTAGGTAATGCTATTATTTTATTAAAATGTTGGTTGCCGCAAATGTGTATTGCAAGTTGACTAATATTTGTGTAAAATATATTCAGTGTTGAATATCGTTTTCTTGAAACAGTTTGGATCATATTAGTATGAGAAAGGAGTTTTAAAAGAATAAAGAGAATCTATGTTCGCGATAAAGTCCTGGCAGACAACTTAAAAAGGAAGTACCATTTTCTTGTTGCATTTCACTGTAAGGAATGTCCCTCTGTGATATAGGTTTGTATTCATATAAAACAAATTAAGAATAAAACACACATAATAACTCCTGTTATTGGTGTAACTGTTAATGTTCTTAGTATGTATTTTGTTTAAGTATTAACTTTTCAAATGTAAATTAGTGCTATTTATTTTTAAATTGTACACCACAACCTTTCAGTCTTCGCGTCTTTCTTGGCTTTACAGGACCGGCTCAAGGATTTTTTAGGGTGGGGAGAGGACTATTTGTGGGTTCAACATTTTCTCTTAAAAAATAATATAAATGTTATTTCTCAGAATAAGTAAATTGTGAAATATTTCCATGGGTACTTTCTGCAGCATTTCTTCAAAAATAATTATTTATAAGACTTTTGTATTGGTAAATTGTATTTGGTGTATGTATAAAACATAAACATTTCTGTTCTATTTTTCGTATTTGGACTCTTCTGGACATTTTGCAACAGCACTAGTTGTAATAGTCTTAAGCCGGCCCTGATAATCAGAATTATTTAAGTACAATGTGACGTTTTATGTTTAATATATTATTATTATTCATTACTGTTTAGTTAATGAGAATTAGTGTCAATGATATGTGTATAATATCTGTAAATTTACATGTTAATAGCCTATAGATATTTAGATATGTTTTGTCTGCAGGTTTTATGTTCCTTAAAATAGTAACTGAGTTCATAGATAATTTAACTTTTTGTTATGTGAAATATGTAAATAAGTAGTGGTAATATTGGGATGTTTGGAAGTATTAAGATTATTAAACTATCTGTGTTCAAATCATTAGTACTAAATGTCTGGTGAATAAAGTAAATTAGCAAATTTTTTAGGTAAATGTTTAAAGTGCAAATTAGCATTTCATATTTCTAGTTTTGGATATTGATGGTCCATTTATTCAGAAACATGTTCAGGTTTGAGGATTAAAATGTTTTGGTAAACTTTATGAAAATGCATTCTTTCAGGATGGAAAATAATATAAGTATTGTACAATAATTAATGTATTTTCTGCAAGGTTGGAGATACGCTCATACAGAACAGGAATGTCATTGATTGTTTTATGAGTGGCTGGAAGTATAGATGAGACTGAAAATTTATTTCTTAATTTGTCGTGCAATAGATTTTTTTGAGAAAGTTTAATTTTTTTTACCAATAAGCCTTTTTTCAGTACTTAATACTGTAATCAGAATAGTGAAAAGTATGAAGAGGTGAGTACTCTTCATTATAATTTTAGACATTAATACATTTTCTTCTCTTTGTATACAAAATTGAACAAAATAGGAATAAACAGCACAATAATGAATTGTATCGAAGTGATTAATTTCAACCTTGATGAATCCTAAAATTCCCGCCTTTCAAAACATATTAGATTGTCGAAAGAAGGAAGGTATACCTCGTTGCGCCGCTATACCGTGCCGTGCTATTGCTTGCCGTGCCGTGACGTTTGTGTCTGAAGCGGTGTGCTGGAGTGCGGCGCGGAGGACAGTCGGCTGTCGCCATCAGAACTGTGTGGGTCGCGGGGACTCGGTAATGTGATGGCTATCGTCTCACGTTTATCCCTAGGTGACAAGTAGATGTTGCCATGATTTTAGCTTTATCCAAGTGGGGAAATTTTAAGATGGCTATTGATTTATTTTAGTTTCGGTATCAAGTTTTGGTTTCAGTGCCGAAGCTCATAACCAAAGATTCCGCGCCGATAACGCATGGCACTGCGACGCTTGGGGTTCGATCTGACAGTTTATTATAAGTTGAAAATATATTTTGAAAGTGTATTTTAGCGTGTGTGTGGAACTGAAAGAAAAAAATGAGACCCACTTAAATTGGAATTTGTACAGCAAGTACCATTGTCAAGAAATTCAACAGCAATAAAAGTGTTGATTACATGATTGTTGAATACACCTGCGGCAGTGCATGTCAACCAATTCGTGACGTTTTCAAATTGTCAAGATTATTTTGGAAGTACAGACTTATTATTCAAGTTTACTGGTTGGACATTCACGATAGTTCCTAAAATATTTCCTGAGTTACGGTTGTGAATAAAGTTAAAGAAACCAAATTGTTTGCTTAGTGCACCTGTTGCTGAGCTGTCAGTGTCAGTAAAATAAATGAATGTGGAATAATCATCAACCAATCCTGACACTTACGTGGTGCTTGGATGGACTTTTTTAACGAACTGTGCGAAACACCGGGTAGTGTGCTCTTCTTTCTCAAGTGACAGTGTACTGTTATCAAAAATAAATGTTGAATAGTGTTGAAGATAAATCTATCAGCAAATACCTGCGATATTTTGGAGGTGCAGTTGTTCCATTTGAAGATCTCCATTCGCAAGCGAGGTTCATGGTTTTCATGGTAAGTGCTTTTTTTATGGGACTGATATGACAGTAAAGCTTGTGAATGTGCTGCCTGCGTGAGACGATGTTAAAAATACGCACGATGGAAGCAAATCCAGTTGTAAAAAGAAACTAGGCCCTACTAATTTATATTTTGAGGTAATTGAAAAGCTTTTAAAGGCGGCACGTTTTTGTATGTGTTGCCGTTCGTTTGTGCTTGTGGGCGGTGATTCTAAACCGTATTTGGATGCTGATGACTTATGAAGTGCTTAATTCGTTTCTTAAAATCTCCAAAGGCATATCCGGGAGAATTCTTTCCACAAACAATCAGATCAGGGCCGTGATAAGTTTGTTCTTTCGTAATCGTTAATGAACGTAATTATTGGCAAGAGGTGAGCGGTTGTTTAGTAAACGAGTTTATTTATACTGCTAGGTGCCTGTTCGCGAGGTGCGGACGGTAGTAAGACTTGGCGAACAAGACCGTGAAACTCCCCAAAATGTGACTACTGTTACTACATCATAAACTGAATTCGTGGATTACACACAAAATCAGCATTTTCGGATTCAAGATCAAATGTTCGTTGGTTTCTGATGCTTATCTGGAAATTTTCAGACTGAGAGGTAATGTTTAAATGATGGATAAGGGCTGCATGTGAATCTGCTTGTGTTCATGAACATGACTGAAGGAAATAAGTTGAAAGGAATTGGGAATAATGTCATGCACTCGGACATTCAGATCCTCCTTTTTGAGCCACTCATTTTCTTAATTATTGTTGTTTTTCATCGCAGTAATTTCATCGAGCCATTTTCTGTGAGAATTGGTTACGATCACTTCCTTTCGACGTTGATTTATTTTAACTGATTGATATGTTTTGTGAAATGCTTTTTTGTTGAACCGTTCATTTCCAGTGTGCCTGGAAAATTCGATCGTGGTTTTGTGAAATTTAGGGAACGCTGAGATGACTTCTTTGATTCTACTCCAAATGGACTAGCCACTAGCGCATAATTGATATAGGTAAATGCAATTAATTATATACCTACTATCTTTTCAATAATCAACTAGTTACAATGTACATTTGAATAGATTTTTTTTCGGGTTCTATTCAATTCAATTCTATTCTATTCAATATAATTGTATTAAAAATAAACTAAAATTTCTTTCGTGAAATAGTCTTAATAAATACCACCCGTGCATTGAGACTGCCAAAATAAAAATATCTGACATCAACTTCCGGGGATTTCCTATCCAGGTATCGCTACTTTTGAGCACCGCGCCAGTTGGGATGAGCTCTAAGCTCTCGACTAGTCTTCGTACATGTGAGGAAGTGTAATGCGTGTAAGTGTGTGTAAGGGGTGAAGGAAGAGGAAGTATAGATCGCGCGCGGTCCATTTGTAAGGGTAGAAGTGCTGGAATTCTCGTCCAACCATTGAATTCGACCAAGCTATTTTAGCTAGTGCCAAAAATCCGCTATCGACGGAACTCGTCCCTAGGACCTCCCCATCAGAGTCGATGCAGAGACAGCGGCAGTGCTTGCTCAGAGCTAACTCAGCCGGGCTAGTGGTTTTCGAGAAGGTTACAAATTGCAAAAAAATAGTTTTTTGTGAAAATCTCGAATTCTATACGTTGTTCATCAAATGCGATTCTCATCAACATCGTAGAAAATATACAATTTCTCATAATACTGATTCATTGTCTTTCATCTGGCAAGCCGCACCACGATATGGCGCAAAGGGATGACCATGAATTCGTGCATAGGATAATCGTTTACTGTGCGGATATAATCATAAAATTCTTTATAATGTTAAAACAATAAAGAAATAATAGTATTAATTTAAACAATCTCAAAATAATTGTTTAAAAACATTATTTTCCCCTTATTCTGATTCTTAACGACTCGTAACTTTGTACAATTTCGTTTTAAACTAGAGAAGCATGTAAATAAATAAAAATTTATTAACTATTCTAACAGAATCATACATCGAAGATCCAGTAAAAATAGTCAGATATTAATGACTTGTCACGCACTGCTTACAAAATTTGATAATTCAAGTTATGCTAGAAATGAGGGACATGAAAATTTGAAACATTGATCTCTGCGACAGTTTATATTGAATGCATATTTCTGGAGTGATCGTTACGACATGAAGTATTTTAAATGTGTATATACGCACAGCAAACAATTATTATCCTACGCACGAATTCGTCACTCCGCGCCACATTGCTGTGCGGTACTATTAACAATCAGTTTTATGCGAAATTTAGTTTGAGAATTCCATTTGACCTGCAACGCATATAAATCGAAAAATTTACAAAAAACGGTTTTGTTGCAATTTGTAACCTAAAAATATCTCAAAAGCTTCTAGCCGTAGGGGGTTAAATGTTTAGAACCAATTTCGTGGAAAATTTTATTGTCTTCATCTTTAAACATAAATTACATAGAAAGCTGGATATTTGCGAGAAACAATGGTTGATGAACTTTGTCCTCTAATGTTTTGGAGCGCACATGTGATATTGATTCGAACTTTCCCCTCCTTTTAAAAGACAGGCGAGGTTTCAGCGGAAATTCCTCTCAAGGGTACTTATTCCGTTAAACGACGGTTTTGTCTAACTTTTGTGGGCTATTTATTAAGAGCGTAATCGGTAAGCATTATCTGTTGTGAGTTGGGAGCCGAAAACGACCGCGCTGAATCGAATCGGGCGCGCCGGTGTCGTCGCGGTCTCCTGAGAGAAGTGGAACCGCAGATCGATTCCGAGCGCACCCATCAGCTGCGCCTCGTGACGCGTAAAGTTGTTGGAAAAAAGGCGCCAGTCGGTTGTCCTGGTTTGTGTGGGTGGGTGGAGGCTAGTACTGCGAACTTATCGTTTTCTTTCACAGAATTTTGCATTTAAGCTGTAGATAAAATTTTTTTTTTATTTGTTAAACTGTAGATAATATTTATTTAAAACGTTTATCTTGATATATTGAATGACTTTCGTGAATATAGAAAATTAATAAAAGCTATATTTTTAATTGGGATTTATCATTGACTTGTTGAGGGGGGATACGAATGACGAGCCCCCCTATTGCCCCATGAGCCCCCTATTGCTATTATTATTATTATTATTATTATTATTATTATTATTATTATTATTATTATTATTATTATTGATGTTGTTGTGCAAGTATTGTTCCCACATGTAACCCCCGTATTAGTGTTCCCCCGTAGGGATTTTTTTAAAAATTAATAAATTAATAAAACGATTTGTAGATGAACATTAAGCATTTGTCGCGCAATGCAGGGAACTCGTTGAATTGCCGAGTTTGGCACTGTAATTGTACTTGCCTAGTTTATGAACGATGTGTCTTGTAGTCTTCAGCGGTCCAGAGCTAAATGTCTCCTGGAACACCCCCTTGCTCTTCTCCGTCGCGTGTGTCTCTAGGTCCCTCGCTTAAACTTCGATTTTTCTGTATTCGCCGATGACATTAGATCTTTGTTACATTTCCTGACTTAAGATTAAACTTTTAAACCGTGGTAAGCACATTTTGGAGGCCACGAGCCCCGTTGAATTAATTGAAAATATTCATTTCATAAGGCAGGAGGTGTAACAATGACCTAATGTCATCGACCACTAAAGAAAAATCGAAGTATAGTAACCCTTGCGTGCCGTTTGTCTCTTCTGTTCTATAATTGGAGAGCGAGTTGGTCGATCAGAAATAAATTCTTGATTCGTTTCGATCAGGCAGCATTGAACCAAAACAGTCAATTTCTATGCTCCCTTGCCGTCTCTTAGAGAAATACTATGCCAAATTATCGTGAAGATGGGAATAGATCCCAAATCTTTCCTCTTCGATCGTGTGTCATCAGTGGGAAAATATTTTGGCACATATTGCAATTGACTGGATACATTTTTAAGTGGAAATTATCATTCTAGTGGAATGCATTGCGTTTTAAATATTTTCATTAGAATGCCTTCGAATCAATTATTACATTTAGAGG